TGCATAGCAAACACGTTTAAACGATATCATGATATTGATATTTTGTAACCTACCGCAAAGCATGAAAAGAAGTTTTATATGATATTTGATGTGGTCCACTTTTGTTTAACGTAATATACCATGCTCTATTGCGTAAATTGTAAAAGTCATGTTTTTACAAGTTGAAGCTGCCTTTTTTGCTTCATCGTCTCAGACTGAACAAATACTGAAAAAGATCTTACTATTAAGAATCATTGGGTAAAGAATGTAGGTTAAGTAAATGATTTGTTGTAAGATGCTCGTAAGATGAATTATAGCAACTTGTCCTTCCTCATTTCTCAGTATTTCCCTGAAATATGTAAAGGCCTATTCTCATTTGAAACCAATCTAAAGAACACTATTATTCATCATGCAACCCCAAGGAAGTACATATCAGTTGACTTAATCTCTTCCTTATGCTGAGGACGAATAATCAGTGCTATTTTCCCAGCATGCAACACATGCATCATTCACAATCTCAACCATTTAAAACGTGATTACTATACGTCTTTTACCAATCAGAAAGTTGCTGTATTAACTACAATAAGATAATAATACGCTTAAATCCATAGAGACCGACGTCGTTCAGTATTGTATTTGGAGCAAGTCGATATAAACACATTACACAACATTCAACAGTACCACGTTAGACCAGTGACCCAAGTCGACATAAATACAAGTGCTTTGAGAGAAACTGCGAATGAAAATAAATGATTAGAAATATACTCAACAACAAAAGTTCCTGTGACACCAATATTTTAGTGTATTTTTCAAACAAGTAAAGTTTGTTTTTCAATAATGTAGTACATGTATGGAATCAGAAAAAACGCAACTGCTACAGAAAAGCATGCATTCCATGCAAAAGTTGACTTTTATGCAAGCCCCATGCATTTCACAATCCAAGAATGGGAATAAAAACATGTGCGTTAACGGGATTCCATAGCATCGTGCTGACAACAACCTCTCAGAAAAACAACAAAATTACGCAATTATTCAACATTACGAAATGCCACGCCAGTCCGAAAATGAGCGTCTGCGAGCCATTGGTATGCTTGGAGCAGGATCGAGTCAACGTGATGTTGCAAGAAAATTTAACGTCCACAGAAACACCATTTGGTGTCTATGGCAACGTTGACAAGAGACGAATGCAGTCAGAGACCATCCTCGGAGTGGTGGGCCACGCGTAACCAATAATCGACAAGACAACTGCATTCGAACAACACACCGACGAAATCGATTCCAGCCAGCATCAGTGACTGCAAGAAGCATCCCTGGCCTTCGACGAATATCTTCCCAAACTGTACGTCGTCGCCTCAGATGTGCAGGAATTGTCGCCAGAAGACCCGCCAGACGTCCCATATTGACAGGAAACCACCGTCAAGCACGTCTACAGTGGTGCAGACAGCGATGGACGGATTCGAGTGTACCGACGTCGAGGTGATTAACGTTACGTCAATGATTGTGTCATGGAAGAAGATCGGTTCGGGGGCGGCAGCGTTATGGTATGGGGTGGGATTACAGCAAGACAGAGGACGCGTTTGATAGTGGTAGATGGAAATCTCATTGGACAGCGCTACCGCGACGAGATCATCGTCCCTGTTGTTCTACCGTTTTTGCGTCGTCATGGCCCAGGCATTACCTTTCAACATGACAACGCCCGGACTCAAATTGCTCGACTTGTTCAGGATTCCCTTCAACAAAACAACGTGAATGTCATCCCCTGGTCGGCTCGCTCCCCTGATCTCCCACCAATCGAGCACATGTGGGATGAGATGGATCGGCGCCTACGACGTCAACGACGTGTTCCACAGACACTCCAGGAACTTCGAAACATGCTCCAGCTGATATGGACAGATATCTCACGGGACTTTGTGCGATGCCTGGTCCATTTCATGAGACGAAGATGTGTTGCTTGCATCGCAACCAGAGGTGGACACACACGCTATTGATTTGTAAATTGACATTTTGGCATGTTCATGCTTTTTTATTAAATCACGCATTTTCTGAAGTCAGTATGGCAAATTAAACCATTTGAACACTTACAGGAGTCTTTTATCTGTTGCAAACCGAAATTGTTTTAGATTTGGTAAAAAACACAACTTTGCATTAAATCTTATTCAGTGTCACAGGAACTTTTGTTGTTCAGTATACATACCTTCTTTAAGCTTGGCATGTAGAATGCTTTTGCCTTCTCTTTCAAGAACTGAAATGTTATGATATTATTCATACAGTTATCTTTTGTATGTACAATACATATAAATGTGTGTATTCATACCAAGAGTAAGGATTAACTAAAACAAATTCCATTGAAGATGGTCTTTGGTAATATTCAGATTAAACTTTAATGTACCCGACATTATCTTACAATCTCATGACATTTAGAACTCACGTCATTGATAATTCAAAGGTCACCGCGCCCGCGTGCAATATAATAACAGTATGCGAATTATGAGTTTGAACTACGCGATACGAGTAGGTTGACAGGAGTATCTCATCATACAGAATGTAATGAAACAACCAATCCGAAAACTGACTGAGATAGTTTATAGGTCCCAACGCCACCCAATGTTATGTGGATCGTCCACGGGACCTTAAATGGCGCCGGGCCACACACATACACATGTACACGCATTCGTGTACACAGCGCGGAACCTGCTGGGACCTGTGGAGACATGGCTGGTCAGTAAAAGCGTTGATATTGCCACGATGAAAGGTCATACGTACCTAGGTGCCTGAAGTTATTGTCTGGCAAGAATGTAATGCCTGAATATAATTGATGGCAATTAATTAAACTACATTGGCTAAATGATTTCAGTGAAACACCGTTAAGTCGAACTATACCACTCCAAGTGAAATCGTCTTGATTAATGAATGATGATCAGGTTACCGTTGTAAATGGTGCCACCGTATATGACTTATGTTTGCGTTATTCACGCGGTTCGTAACTTGTTATAAGCCGACCTTCTTGGTTGGGTTTCTCTATAATAGTAAATAGGTTAGGAAAGCGTTCTATAAGACCAATACACTACCATACTACTAACCTATATCAGTGATCTCTTCTTCCCAACCCGTGTAGCTATATCCATGTACATGTGCCTCGGCTGCTGAGAAATCGACCATTCAGTCATAGATCCTAGCGGGGCGGGTTGATGCATGTATTATTAGTTAATTTACGACATGTGTCAATCGAAGATCTCAGTTAGTGCTTAGATGTTGCAAAACAAACGATAGTTAGAAATGAGATCTGCTATATAACCCATATACATTTACATACAATATTAGGAAAATCGATATTTGTGGAAGTAATGATGCAGACTCTTGTAGTTCCATTTTCATTGTGCCATATGTGCCGTGCATTGTGGCTTGCCGAGAGATCCAATATTTCAAGAGCCAGCTTTCGTATGTACATTATTTCAATTAGTGCAGTTAGAGCACCTTAGACCACTCCTTAGGGGAATATCAATATTACTTGTCAGTTATACGTTTAATAACACACACACACACACACACACACACACACACACACACACACACACACACACACACACACACACACACACACACACACACACACACACACACACACAAACTCTGTCTCACACACACACACACACACACACAAACTCACACACACACAAACTCACATACACACACACAAACTCACACACCCACACAAACTCAATCTCACTCACACACACACACACACACACACACACACACACACACACACACACACACACACACACACACAAACTCACACACATACATAGGTTTTATATTATGAATGTGGCACGAGAGTGTAAGGTGTCTCCATACCAAGGGTCCTACGATATGGATTCGCTTCAAGTTTGTGAAAGCGATCGTCCATCTGGTTGTTAGCGTTAACATCACTAGGTATGGAACTAGATGAACTGAGTCATTAACCATGTCGGTTTTGGTTCACTGTTCAATTTTAATACTTCAGTAATGAGGAAACAGTCTGGGCACACGTTACAACCGTGCTATCCTTATGCAGACTCAACACCCAAGTCTCTCTACCTATATTTCCTATAAAACAATCACGCACCTGGTTTTTATTATAATCATCATTGTGGTAACTGTCGTACATTACAAACATTTACAGGAAATTGACCGGCATATAAAGTATGTCCAAGCATACATCTTACACATTCCAAAAGATTCTGGGACCATATAAGATTGTTTTCTCATTTATGTTCATTTGTTCTTCAATGTATCAATTTCAGCTTATTACATGACAAGAACCTGCAGCAATACATCGATGGGTACACACCAGTCTGGTGCGGCGTCCACTGGGTCACAGAGACACAGACAAGTTATATATACAACATAATTACTATCTGTCGGCAAAGATTCCGTTTGAAGTCACTACTAGTGTTTTACTCATGTGCATTACATAATTCAATTTTGTACAATTATACACTTAACATGGGGCATGTATACAAGAAAAGAAGATTACTGGAACCAAACCGTGTGTTTTCATCACTCTGTTTACAAGTCAAGCTACTTAAGAAAGAAATAACACGAAAATGTATCCCGAGATTCAATCAGGACCACCACGGTAGGTGTTAATTGTCCCCTTAGCGAACAAAGTAGCACCTAGACCTCTCAATCTCCCGCTCTTGGTCGGATATTAATACTTGATGGATGCGTGACAACCGATAGCATCAGTTCGTCAGCCTCAGCCCGTCCACACAGGTCTTATCAATGGTCAACTCACGGATTAAAAATTGACTGGACCTTCTCTACCAATCACCTCGACATTATATCGCCAGTCACCAGGGGCCAGGGACATCAGTCAGGTTTTGTGAACAGAAACGTCAGCATAGAGGCGACACGCGTGCTTGTGATTACTGCAGCTGTGTGGCGCTGTGCTGCTTATAACAAGCACATGCTACGTTCACTCTTGGCAGCCTGAAGTACACCTTATTGTTAAATGCAGATATCCATATTATCTATCGTAACCGTTTCAGTGTGAAACCTTGCATCAAACATACTCTATTTATGAAGCTGCTCAGTGAGGCATTCATTCATCTGCAGATGGTCACAGGATAATCTCTGTTTTCGTTCATTCTGATCTTCTTACCGTGAGGCGGAGTAAGGTTGATACTACCTTGCAACCTAGTGGAAATGATGATGCCAATCCATTCAGTGGAAAGGCGTGACTATTCCTTCTCGTTGAGCGCGCGGTACAGTCAGCTGATTCGCTGACGATACCGACAAGACTCGGGCTCCGTGAGTGGAGAAGCGATGTCGGGAGCTTTCTTCAATGACTTAGCGGAAACCAGGTGGCAACTAGTCCATCGCAGTATTGATTCCTGTTAGCGGTCTGTGAGAAAACTTGTTTGGGATGCATTCTCACGCATGTTTCGGGATGGAAGAGTTTTGTTGTCGGACTGTGGGGGTTCTTAAGGAGCTTTCATAGAGACGGATACCTTCATCATTTGAGGATTTTTCCGTTACGGACTCATTTTCGAGAGAAACATTTGCGGATAGTTTCCTACATTTGCCTTTAGCAGTTTAGCTCCAAGGAATATCTAACTTCTCTGAAGGAGAAAGTAAGGACAAGTGCTTTCATAGGCTTAGGAGATGGAACACTTAGCCTTCTCTTGAGGATAGTGAGAAGCGTAGTTGTGATGTTCTGCCTCAACAATTGTCAAACGGACCATTTCATTTTTCATCAAGTGTGTGTTTATTAGTCTATGTGTGTCATATGAAGGCTTCCACAGCGAATGTGTGGCAACGATGAAATCATCCCTTCACACGTGCCTTTACCAGACCAACGGTAATTTGGCATTTGACATTAAGCTGACAAGTTAATCTCCTGCAAGTTTCATACAAAATACCGATAAACATACATATAGGACTCGTCAATGTAGGAGGTGATAGGATGTCGGACTAAGAGCTATAAATACTAAGCAATTAAACCCATTACATTCCGGTGTGGATACCATGTCAAATCTGATAGTTTCGTCTATGGCGGCTGCATACGACATCTTCGAATGTAAACAGGAGTTGTGTTACAATTAATTGATTACTTTTTTAAGACAGACTGATTGTGAAGTGCCTGTACTAGACACTTTCAAAGGCCATAAGACCTATGATCGTCAGGTGACATATTCATCATGCTCTACGGTCAGTTGTCAGGCGACCGCTTGGCACACGCTGTAATACTGCAGAAAATGATGAACAGAATCATGGCGGTTGTTGTGTTGGAGTTTCTTACGTGTTTCCTCATTTGTGGTGAGTAGATTATTGTTGCTTTCTTTCAGTGCATTCTTGTGATAACCATAACAATATATATAATTCGTTGTCTTTTACATATGTATTCCACACAGCTGTAGTTCCATGGAATGTGTAAGTGGGGCTTAATGAAGCTATAGGGTTTGGTCTCTTTGGGAATGATTGAGGTTAAATGTTCAGTCAATCATATGCATATGGTGCTCTTCATCTTCAGTGTTGACATCACTTCACACCACCATGTGATGCTATGGTTACACAGTGTCACATTGCGTGGTACATGTAACTCAGAATTGATTACCCATCGGAGTACACTGTCATAGTCAAATACCTGAGAGTATAAAATGCGTATACAAAGTATTACACTAATGGTTATCTTTCAAAGAAACATTTATCGCTAGGTATGTTTATCTTTGTTTAACTTGAGATATATCAATTATTCCCACTCCCACATACTTAATTACTCTTTAAACTTAAATGTTAGGAGTGGTAAATCGTGTTGCCGTCATGTTTCCCATTTATATGTTCTGTACGACTGTTGTAATTACGCCGGTTGGTTTGAAATCACAGTTATTTCAGGGAGGATTCAATTACTGCAGTGTTTGTGAGATAAATATTAGGTACATGTTTTCGAAGCGGAATAACAAGCAGAGCTATTACAGATTGTTACTGCAAAGTGATTGATGTACTGGAAAATTTTCTTGTTGCAAAATGTCGAATGATGATTCACGTGTGACATTAAAATAAGTTTAACTTTCACTTCCTGTTCGTGGTGTTAATAGGTGTCAAGTCAGAGGTTAGGGGAGGAATGCCATCTGCAGTGATATGTGTTATTATTATGTTTCTATTTGTAGTATGTACGTTTGTGTCAAACTAATTATATCTTTATTTTAAGAACATGAGCCCTTTTCGAAGCAATTGAATAGCCTTCATAAAACATTTATTTCAATCTATCTTCCATCTCAACTGCCTAATGACTAATGCTAAGTATTCATTAGTATCACTTTACATTTGATGACGATTGGCTGTCCTGACCGGTCACATGTTAATGCATTTTTGATGATAATGTTAATTTAGTTTTGTTATATCTCAACCACATATTTGAAACACTAATTTCATGAAATATGCATGTGTGCTTTGGAATTCAATCCAACTATTTCTCAAATGAATACTACACTCAAAGTTATAGCCCTATCGTTAATTCTCAAGAGAGCATTGGAACAGTCGCACTGACACGTCAGTGAATTTGGAAGATAATCGAGCCTGTTTTCCTCTGGCGTTAACGTTCTATATTTTCATATTAAACAAAATGGACCTACAGAGAAGCTTTTTTATATTGATATGTCACTATATGTTCTGTGAAATCAATTATTAAAACCAAATATCGATATTTTTTTAGATGTAACTAACGTAACGGTTCATGTTAAATGTGTGTTTTCAGGTTATGCCAATACCAACATTGAGAACAATAAGGTACAATACAGATACTCGTTGATTTGAATACAAGCATGTGCTCAACAACGGGTATTGTATCCGAACTGTAATAGGCATCGCCCGTTATCATCTAACTATGTGACAGATATGCTGTGTGCACTTTTAGGCTAATTGTATTCTTGCCAAATACATTTTTATTATATACAAATCTATTGTTAGAGAAACATCAAATCGAGAAATAAGTTAATTAAAAAAGTAATCATAAACCGTCATATTTCGACCACATCACTGCCACATGTTGTCATAAAGGGATTTACTTTATCTACCCTATTATGTATTTCTTTTCGTAATTTATCGCGTATAGGTCTGTAACAGTTGGAATAGCAACACAACATTTAACCACAATAGGTTGGTAACATATGGTAACTGGATGAGGTCAGAACTAAGTCAGTATCAGAATCTGATAGAATATTTAAATGTTGATAGTGTGTATATGTGTGCATGCGTGTGTGTGTGTATGTGTGTCTGTGCGTGCGTGTATTTGTGCACGTATGCTTATACTGTAACAGAAAAAAAAATATAGTAGAGGATGAAACAGCTACATCTAGATATCGTACGCCTTTTGAGCGTCGGTTGAAAATCACATAAAAGAAATTTCGTTGTGAATTACAGTCTTGACGTATTGTGATCTGCCTATGCCTACACGTTAAAAAAGTTTACGTGCAAAAACCACCTAAGCCGACTTCTAATTGGAAATTGTCCAGACAGTAATCCGCTAGAAGGTATCTAAGCACGGTTGTAAAACTCGGGTTCTGCAGATGTCTCTCTGTACTCCAGCTCCTTCAACCGTTGAGCAGAGAATTGAATCATGTCGGTCAGGAAGGGAAAGGCTTCTGGTTCGGTCGTAACGTGACCATTATGAAATGTAGATGCTACAAAAGGAAATCACTTTTGTGTGTATTACATATGTGTTAAGGCTAAACAATAAACATGAATAATATGTATAATATGCTTGAAGAATTATACTGCAGCTAATTACTCGCATGCTGACATAACTCAAAGATTGAGGTTAATCCTGGCTGGAATACCAATCATAATAAAGCAGTTCGAATTAGTGTTTTGAAAATATGGATGTCGAGAAAGTCGTTGAAACGTTAACACTAATAACAGCACATTCAGATTTCTTTGGCCGTTTTTATAATATGATGTATTGACTTATGGGCAAATTACGTTTCTCATAACTTCACATTCTTTGTGAGATTGCCAAACTTACCATGAAAATCTACGCCTTAGGATGGCTGTGCCTTGACAATAGCTGATTTACTACTCAGGAACATTGTCCCCCATGCGGACAGTTTACTGTTATTTAATTAGAGAGTGTCTAAATCCTGCTGTGGAATTATATCAACCGGAAGACATATGCATTGACTCTGACTTTACGTTGATGTTTAGTTAGGCGCCTGGTTGTGGAGCAATTCAGATAGGTAAATTAATAACTTCCTGCTTTTTGATCATATTCCATCGATTTTGGATTGTCATAACCATTTTTATTGACGGATTAAAGAAATCGCCTTTATGGCAAACAACTTTTCATACTTTGCTGGAATTGAAGTTTGATAAGCATCGTGGTTATGTTTACATTAAGCGTTGTGGGTCCATCTGCAAACTTTCGGTTTCAAAGGAAGAACACCATACTTTGATTATCATTTGTTCACGGCCTTGCCTCAGACATCCTTTAAGCAATATGCAATTGTTGAAGATAAAATTACATCATCGATGTTTGTTCAGTTCAAGATTTATAAATAGGCTTGTCTGAAAGCCTAAACTGCATCATCGCCGTTCAGATAGTCCCAGTCCTGTTAACATTAAAGATGCTAACTTCTCACGTTGAACGTTTTGTAGTTTGTATCTCTTGGGTGAAAACCTAGCGAAGCATATGTAAAAATGATAAAATCTCGTGGTGATGCTAGACATTTAAAACTGCAATATACCGCTTAATGATATAAATTTTGTCGTGTTACATTTATTAATCTCATTTCTCACCCGTTTCAAAGATGCATTCATGCATATTGTGAAGCATCGTGGGTTTTATGGTATCTTTCCCAGGGAAACGTCATGATCAACGAATCATAGGTTGGTACAAATGTTATCTCAATGTTCCCAAATATATTCATCCCGATCAATGGAATTCGAACTAACGACAGTTTAGAGTGTACATGTGGCCTGTACTTGTCTTACAAACAGTTACATATTAGTATATATGAAGGTATAAAAAGATTATAGTATATAATATATATATACATATAAAGATATAAAAGGATAAAGATATTATAGTAGTTAGTCGTAACCAATTTAGATGGTTTCAGGTACAAAAATATAGATAGACTTGTTTTTTTCTAGAATCAGTCTTTTCGAGAGTGTTTCATATGCCACAAATGATACCCCTTGATCCAATATGTACAAGTATCACCGGTTCCAATGTATAGTAACATTTTGGATGCCTGATTTAACCACACATAACCTAAGGTTACCGACAAGGCAGCAAGGATTTAAGTTTCTCATATGAGATCGGCAGGTTTAGAGTAAACATGAATTGAAGGACAGGGTGGTATGAATACTAGTATTACTTAACATACGAACAAGCGTAACTGTAAACCGTAATCATGGCAAGCAGAGGGGCGTGTCAAAGTATCATTGTGTAGTTCAATATCACAGTATGCATCTTAATGCATATGCATATGTCTAGTTTATTTATCGGATAGCTGCAGAAAGTATATGGTAATCAAAGTAGCAACGCAATGTTTTGTTCAATATAGCAGTTTATGAGCAGATCAGAAGAATTTAATTGAGCATTTGCGCTGTTTAATAAATGGGTTTCTTTCTTTAACAGGGCTACATTAACATGATTCGAGAAGAATATCCTATGATGCTAACCACACACTTCAACAACATTGGGTCATTTGTTTTAGGGTGAACATGTACAATTCCGGGTTATAATTGGTCCCCAGTAATCCATGCTTGTCCTAAGAGGCTACTTAATGAATCTGATAGGTAGGTTCGGTGAATTCGCTGATTGCATGTTGACGAACCCCAACAGTGTGGATCTTTGCTCATAATATCAATCACTGGATTTTGTGTCCATTCTTGATTATTTGCAGACCGCCGTCACACAGATGGAATATTGCTGAGTGCGACGTCCAACAAAAACACATGTGCTTGTTGCTGTTGCTCAAGCCTGACAATGCTCAGAATAACAGTAAAGCTATTCCAATGCCTGGTCGGAAAGATGTAGTGGTGCTAACGCAGTGCCACCTCTCGCTTTATTTCAACAATATAACATGATCGACTTTTACCTTAATTTGTTTTCTTTGGAGCTGATCTCTATAGTCAGACAACGGAAACGGACATCAATCTTATAGACGATTCCAACCACTGAGACTCTAGCATTGACCCACCATTTCCTGAAATAACCCGTCCGTTTTCTGGTGATAAATGCTTTAAGTATGGCCAACAAAGCAAATGAATCTTTGTGATAAAGTGGAATGTAGTTACATCTATCTTGCACTTTG